TTGTCTTGTTCCTGCGTGGTGTGTTTTCAATTTCACCCGAGAGAAGCAGGGATACTTTGCGCATTTTTTTCTCCCAACTGAATCATAAAACGTTACTTCAGAAGAAGCGCAAAAACAGCACAGCCTGCAGCCCTGCTTAATCAAAACTCTCTCCCTGACACTTTTAAGCGTGTCCATTAAATTTCAACGTGGGTAAATCTGATAAATAAATGCAATTAAAAAAAAAAAAATCTTAACTCAGTGTTTGTGCGTATTCAATTTAATTACGTAAAATAACTCAATTTGCATGCAAACGATCCGTCAAACACGCCCGAATTAAAAATCATGAATGACTAATTTTAGCACATGCAGGCGTGATGCAACGTGATGCATTTTCAGCAGGACTGCGGTATGTATAATTTTGTTTTATTTAGTCATCTCTGCTGGGATTACCTCACTGGGCGTTTGGAAAGCTCATTGGTTATAACATAATCTTCCCTCAACAGAGCATGCGCGTTACCTTAAAATATGATAATATTTTATGGTGTTCATGCCCTCCCTGACTGTAGGCCCATTCTGTTGGAAAAGAGAACATAGCCATCACCCTATATGGTAAACAGCTCACATTTATATGCTTGTTGTAGATGCAATATAGGCTGCGACATAAAAAGGTTATTTTAAATTAAAAAAGCTGGATGCATGTTTTTTTTTATCCCATAAAATAAAGTGGCCTATATTGCAGCATTTTCTTTTCTGGCAGAAAAGTTGAGGGATTTTTCTTTCCTTTTTTTGTCCATGTTTTCTGGCCTGTATCCCATACTATGCTTGGCTGGCTCAGGCCACTTGTGCAGTAGACAAGTTTGTGGACTTGAAGTTAACTCAATAATGACTGGACCAAAATTAAATGTAGCCTGTAATTCGTTTTTGGATGAACTAAAGCTTATTTTAGGATTACTTATGTTTGTGTTTTACTATGGAATGTGTGTGTTCAAGTTTGTAAATATTAGAAAAGATTTCTGTGTCTTCGAGGCGCAGTGATGGAAAACAAATAGTCTGATTCACTGCTTTGCTACGGGTAGTCAATGGGATAAATGCTGCAGATAGTTAGGTAGATAATATCACTTAAAACTGCACACCTTCTATTTTGTATATCAATATTAACATGAGTGACTGAGTTTAGTATTAGTTTTGCTTTCTCAAAAAATCTCCACACCGCAGACAGAAGCTTGAAGGCTCGGGTTTTGCTCTTTCATTCTCAGGTTACATTTTAAATTTGTGTTTTATTTTTCTTTAAACTTTTGAGGAATTGTTTGAATGTATTTTCATGCGTGGTTATGTTTATTTTTTCAGAAAATATCAAATTTTACTTTGCGGTGTAGATATTTAAACGCGTAACCCACTATTTACTTTGCATTTAGCAAGTAAACATAGCAGGTAAATTTATCTGGAAAGTTTTTTTTTATTATTATTATTAGAGTTTATCGCTAACAATTTCAGTTTTTCCAATTCGGTATTTGACTTTATCCCATCAGTGTCAAACCCATTTCCGTGCGGTGTGTTTTCTGTTTTTCTTTTGCGAAAACTTGTAATTTAGCTCTTTTTGCCTCCTCTAAAATACTTTAAATATCATATACAGTAAAGTAAAAACCAAACAGGTTCTCCATACGTTGTCAGATTGGGTAGTCACTTGGGCTCTGAGTGACTGCACTTGGAATTTGCCTTCATATGGCTGATGGAGAGAGCTAATTGACTTCTTGCTGTGATTTACTGGAGCAGCTGTCCCCCAAATGGACTCATCCCAAACCTGTTAATTCATCTAAATTTCATAATGTGATGGCAACAAGGTGCACTGCCGTCCCCACATCAATTACAATATCTCCGCTCAACACAAATGGTTGCACTCAGACATACACACATTTATTCCCGCAAAACATGAACCGATATCGGAATCAGTTTCTGAAAAATAATAACAAATTTCGCAATAATACTAAAAGCGTGTTATAATTGACTTTTTTCAGAGCTAATGATATTAATCACAAAGGGCGTCATCTATTCTAGTTTGTTTTGGACAAATCTGCATGATAACTGTTTATGTGTTTTATGGCTTCGTAAACAGTTTTATAATGTATAATAAAGTCTTATCACCTACTAAGGTTAAGGATATTGAACTTAATGAATTGTGAAAAGACTTTCTCAATGTGCTTTCAATTAATAGGTTTAGGTTTCTTCACCTTGTGTTAGAACCATATTCTGTTTTGCTCCTACTTTTTGCTCAATTTGAAGCACAGTAACAGAATCAGGCGGGATCAGGACGATACACATGTAGAATCGTCCACTCACATAAATCATAGCGATATTTTGTGTCCAAAGGTCAGTAATATGTAATTTGTCTTTTTCACTAATCAATATGAATATTAGACTCATTTAGGGAAGCTAAATTAGTATAGCAATATTTATATGACGGTAATTCAAATTGCCTTCAAGAAAAATAAATAAATAAAATCTAGTTAAATTATATTCAAAATAATTTGGACGTTTTTATTTGAAAAAAATTATATTTTGTGCTTGCGGAAATGTGTCAGAATACTTTCAGTTAATCTTTCGATATTTAAACTCAAATGATAATATAGCTCTTTATTTGAAAAGCCACCTTTTTATTTAT